GTAAAAGAACCCACACACTGATCGAAAAGAGTAGGGGACGTAGTTCCCGGTGTGGTGGTCTATCTCTCATCTGATGGTTAAATGCTCGGAGATATTTGCTGCATAAGCTACTCTGAAATCCGAGGGTAAATAAAGTGATGTATGTACGTATATGTTTCCTTTGTCCGAGCCGTCGTCTTTTGGTGAAGTCGGTCAGACAGGGGCTGCGGCTTTACTAGCTCCCCTAGGTCCTTAAGTAATCTAACTTCTATGATTTATTCTTCCACAGAATAATTAGTGGAACGTACTCTTTAATTTTTCATTGGAGCCGGTCAGGCAAGAGCTGCGGTTTCACGCTTGCCTGTTAAGACTAAACAGGCCTACTGCTAGCAATCTCTTTATATCATTAAGCACAACAGAGAGAGTAAGTCTCGTGTTATTCGACTTATTCCGCCACGCTAACTCTGCTTTTGTCTTGGTGGGGCTGCCACAACCGGTGGCATGTGGCGTCTTTTTCGCCCCACCTTTGCTGAACAATGGAAATCCTGTAGATGTGTTGCTACAATTTAAGTGTCCTGGATCAAATTAAACTTGCCACATTTCTGGCCAAATTCATCCAATCCATGTGTTTAGTTTTATTGCGCATTCTTCAGCAAACTAGTGCGACTTCAAGCAGAGTTAGCGTTCCGTAGAGTCATGCATGGATATAAAATAATTTTAAAGTTGGTCATTTTAAATTTCCTGTCATGTTAAAAGCACTGGGCAGCAATGAAATTCAGTACCTATTGTTCCTGGCATCCCTTCATCCTCAAAATTCTGGGCAATCTCTTGCATTTCATTCACTGAAAACAGTACAGTAATAGCCATTTCAAGTTACATGAGGAAAATAGAACGTTATATGTTCTCTGCGTTTGTTGTTGTGTTTTAATCCAATTTCTTGAAAGGTTGAGAAAACAAACAAGCAAACAGACAGTATGTCAATTACAACGTGTGAATGATATAACAAGCACAAACTTTACCGAACTATTTCATTGGCAGGCACAAAAGCCTATCTTTTGCCAGCATTACCTCAAAGGACTGCAGAAATTACTTAAATTAAGAACAAAAAGAATATGAATTCCTAAATTACTCGAGAGCGAAGAAAAGGGAAGCGATCGCAAGAAAACGAGGAAATATACACAGTAATTAAAGCTTTTAATGTAATGATCGATTTTTTTTTCTAACTTCCTTCGAATGAATACATACAACTATACAAATACGCAATTTTTGTTGTCATCTTCCAAACTGAATGTATGTATGTAAAGGATAAAAACAATTGTCTTACCATTTGGCCATTCAATGTAGCGCTAGCGCATCGACAAAACAGCAGAGTTTACTCTTTGCAGGACTCTGCCGCAACTGCTCATCGTGATGTTAAATCGATCTGCTACTTGTCGCGTTGTTTCACTGCCGTTTGCCATCATCCACAAATAAACTAAAACTTGTTTTTCTGGCGGGATAGGGGCCCTGTCAAATGCGTTTCCTACATTTATCACACCGGACGCTAAAATTTCTCGTGCGAGTAACTTACAAGTGTTACGAGTTAAACGAAAGTGGTTTTTAAACTCGTCGCCAAAATAGGACGGAACTGTGACTTCAAAGTAGCTGCCAATACGGTTCAGACTTCGTCTTGTATACGTTGAGGCTACAGAGAGGATAAAAACGTCGTCTTCGTCATCCAAAAGGTCAGAAACGTCTAACTCATCTAAAATGGCTAACAAAGAGCGTTGTTGCGCCATTTTGTTTACCTCTTAATTGGTATCTCGCGTCGACTGTTGCCACAGTAGCAAAGTAAGTCAACCGCTTTCAGCTCTTAATGGGGGCACAAGTCTCCGTTCGGATCACTGCTGAAGGTTCACGACCCTCTGCCCTGTTCTATTCGGGTGGAAAATTGATTACCATTGACAGGGAATTCTCCAACCGGGTGGTTTAATGTAAATGGTAAGCACCCTAAATTTTCTAAGGTATGGGTCTCCGCTCGCGCGCCTTCAGCGAGCAGGAGCTCTGCTATTACATACAACTTTCCCATCTTGCGCCACGCGTAAAAAGCAGTGATAGTGTGTTGACCAATAGTTGTGGAACGCTTTCACGTGGTATGCCATGGAAGTAAACAAATAAAATATCTACATTGCGAAAATAAAGCAGCATATATTTATACACCAGATACAACTACGCTTTTCTAGAATTGATAAATGAGCGCGCGAGCCAAAACAGGCAACGAAATTTATACAGGAAGTCCTAACAGGCAGCCTTGATGAACAAAGAATGTGTGCATATCCTGTTATTGAACAAGCGTATGCTAAATCTGGCCATTATATTCAAATTAACAACTGCATTTACCTCTTCGAAGCACTTTGCAGTTAATTTTGAATATCAATTGGATCGATTCGACTCGGACGAAGGTGGCTCACCTCGATCTTTCGATCAACCACCATCCCTAATTTAATCATTTTAAGATTCACAGCATCAACTGTTTATACAAATGGCACGGATGATATAACTATTCTGACTAGCGTAACTTAGGGTGGACAGCTTCAAAAAAAAAATGATCAAATTTCTCGCAAAAATACTTTCTGTTTACCATTCCAACAACCTTAACGCCATATTTCTCCAACACATGTATCTCATCCTTGGTTTAATAAGCCCCAGACGTAAAATAAGTCTACATTTACCTAAGAGTAAAGTTTTGCTCAATAAATAGACGCTTCAATTTGCATTTAAGACAGACAAGCTGTCTCGAAAGAAAGATAATTGCATCGGAAACCGTTTATAATGGAACGGTTTGAGAAGTTCAACATGAACGCTCGTCACGCTTACCTGAATTCAATTCTCGAATTCTTAACTGACCAAGTTCAAAGACTCAGGAGCGCGTAGCTTCGAAATTTAATGTTCATTGTAAAATACTGCTTCACATATAAGCACATTCCACCTGTCGATTTTAAGTTCAGTATGCCATTAGTTAACTCATTTGCCCTTGCAGCTGCAGAAATATGCGCCATCTACAAAACAAAATTGCAAAAATTTGCATATTCTAAGAAAATAAAATTCAGCTTAAGCCTCAATGAAGACTTGAGGCATAATTTTCGAATAATTCCCACCTGAGTGTTAGCTGCGCATCCCACAGTATCCTTGATTTATTCTACAAATGCATAATAAATCATTTTGTGAATATTCTTTGGGCTTCTGAACTAAAGATGAATCATGTAAACACAAACTCTGAACTCAAGGCGGTTGATAAATTTAGAGCACAATTTCTGTGTTATTTCGTAAACGACTTCTCGTGTCATAATAACACACCCATCTCATATCGCATGAAAACTCAGCGCTTTCTGCCTCTCTTATGAGCGAAAAAAACATCAAAGCCTTCTTACTGTTTAACTTCATAACTGTATTTTGTCAAGAGTCTAATCTCTTTTTATTGTGCGTGATGTAGTCCACACGAAGAGAGATGGCAATTTATTATTTTCCATGTTTATTCACTGTTGCATGGTAAAATTACATTTTAGAACAATTTTTATATTTCTTTACAACAATGATGAAAACTTTCTCAATAGCTATCTTATTGCTGGGAAAGTATTTCATACTGATAAAATAAAATGAGTAAGCACCAAATTTAATGTTAGGCAACGGTTACGAGGACTTCTAAAATCTAAGTGGTAATACATCATTAGCCCTGTTCATCGTATTGGTCTACAAGAACTAACTTGTTAAACAATGGCAAAGCACTTGTCTCATTGTGTCCTTTACTGCTTGTCTAACTTCATCTAGCTTCCAACAGTAAAGAATCGGGTTTAAAGACGAGTTTAAGAAAATTAAAGTGGTTGTATAAATCCTAGCGTGATAAACAGATACAGATAGTCCACTTTTAGCCCTCAAAGCGGTCATTCCACCATGAGGTAAATAACAAGCGACTAGCGTCAGTTGCAACCATATTGCAGTGGAAACGGCCTTTTTGTATCGTGCTATGTTCAGTTGATTTGCTTGGTGTGGTCGTTGAACATTGCGGTTGTGAATCTGGGTGTTATGATGACGGAGGGTGAGGAAAATCTTTGTGTAAGAGAAGATCGAGATTATAAGACACAGAGGTATAGCTATGGTGCCATACCATATGGTTATTACGGGATTCCAAAATACTATGCCTGAAAAGACAGCGACAATAACCCAAGTGGTAATAACGACGAGCGAGGTTCGCTTTAAAGTTACAACTTGTCTGTATCTCAGTCCCAACAACAGGGAAAGAAGTCTGTCCACGCTTAGTTCAGTCAGGGTTGCGACCGACACTCCACACAAGATATAACTTGTTATAAAACTTGCCACCGATAGGTGAGGACAAATATTCCAACGTTCATTCACCACAGACATCCAATAGCCAACAGAGAGAGGCTCTGCAAATAGACCAACACAGAGATCCGTTGTTGCAAGGCAACGAAGCAAGAGTTTGGACGGCGGATGAAGTGAAGACTCCTTGTGAAGAGCAATTAAGATCAGAGCATTCCCAAGAAATGCGGTAACGGACAGAAACGTGTTTAACACTGAAACAAATTTCAACTGGCCGTGTAGTCCAGCGGTTAAATCTGGCGAACAAGTTAAGTCTTCGATTGTTTTCTGCTCTCCATCTCCAGTAAAGTTAGGTGCTGTCATACCGATCTACAAGATAGCTATTTGTAGTTTATCCACAAGCTGGAATCACTAGCGAAACTTCTCAGTGTAGTAAATTACGAAGCTGGTTGTTACCACAGCAATTGACAAACAGTTGAAATGCCTTTCATGACGCTTGTTATCTCCTGAAACATGTCAGTACATGGATGATAATTGACAGTTTGGAAAGAAAACTTAACTTGCCAAGCAGCTGGCTTACTCTCAGACTCTGAAAACAGACTGACAAGAGAAACGACATGTGTATAACTACATGTTAGTAAGAGAGTAAGGGTAAGTAAGAGCAAGTCTTTATCAAAGTGACTGAGTCTTAGCTAGATAGAAAGCTACTTCAAAGTTCTAGTCACAACATAAATAAGAAATAAAATAAATTACACTGAATAAGATCAAAAATGCATAAATTCTGTTAAAATCGATGAAATATAAAAGTACTTCTACCGTTTTTTCTATAAAAGAGAAGTACTATTGAAATAGTCCTATGTGATTTCTGATTTTCGATATTCAAACCCTCAGGAAACTGTTTTGTCTTAGGTTTTTCACATTACGGATATTTGTAGTTTTAGCTGCAGGGTGTGAACAGAGATCATTAGGTACCACTGAAGGTTTTTAGCAATTGCTAAACTATCCCTGCCCTACCCTACAAGGGTCTGGATCCTGCAGAGAGGGCGAATTTCGTGAGAATGCCAGATCGCTAAGTTAACTCCAATTTCTGTGGGGAAACGTCATGTTTTATTTATTAAGAGCTGTAACAAAATGGAAGAAGCTACTCTGTATCGATCATGAAAGATCTATGTAGCCTTACTGACAGAAAGTGAGCCTTTCCATACTCAGTTTATTATTTAAGAGGGCCTTCCGGGGACAGGGACTAAATGTTTCTTTTATTCCTTTTAGTCTTCCATTTTCTCCATCAAAAAAGTTCGACTTATAATTAATGGCAAAGATAGAGAGAGGATGATCTCTTGTGAACGGTTTACAGAGCTGTTCCCTCAGAATGATTCAGAAATGTCCTTTGTCCCTGAAAGAGATGGCCGTCCATGTTTAAATATTCTCAGGGAGGCCCTCATTTGGCTTACGCGAGGCAAAAATGCCTTGCCTGAATTAATCATCATGTTTTCCCTGAAAATGGAAACTTTCCACAAGTATCTTTAATTCCGCCAGCTTCCAAACCACTGTCTACTAACTGCTGTTCATGTTATGGAAGACAATTTTAATTTACGGTTTCTTTTTTTGAGTTAAGATGAAATGACTGACAAGTTTCGTTTCCTGTCACTTCGGCTGACAAGACCAGCTCTCCTTTATTTACTTTGCAAATGAATATAAGCCCAAAATATGATATATGCAAAGAACACACAGAAGTGAATACTAGCTTTAATTGTCCTAATTTACATTAAGGAAGGTTAAATTAAATTTTCGAGAAATTAAAACCTGCTTCCTGTGTTCCAACAACTTATACCTACTGATATCTTTATTTGACTTCATGGATGTAGGCTACAATGACAGATCTTGGTTTCGCTGGTATTCTAGATCACAAAATGTACAAAACAAAACAAAAACAAAAAACAGGCTCTTTTTCCCAGGAAAGGTTAAGCTGCAGTCTTTTGAAAGATGATATTTCATTTGTCAGTTTATTAAAGCAGTGACGACATTTTGCTAAACTTCATTATCTTGGAAAATCTCCTTTTCTGGTCAGTTTCAATTAATTATATATAGCTTGACCCTATTTCGGCGTCAGGCGTGTACCAACTAGCCTCGTAGCTTTCAATCCATTTTTAAATCAAACTGCATTGAAGCTATTGTGGTCAAAGTTTGTGATTTTTCCTAGGAACTATTACTGAACATTTCGTAGCGTCAACTATTTAGTCACATGACTTGACGTTTTATTTGTCAACCTTATATTTCAAAGGGATTTTACTCAGATTTGGTGTTCATATTTATGTTTGTATTCCGTTCTTGTTCTAATTAAGATTTTATAATCGTTTTATTTTAGACTTTTTTTTTTTTATCCTTCTTGTTTTTCTTAATTTCTTCTAAATGAGGCAAAGTAGTGATTGAAAATAACGTATCAGTTTTGGAACTATCTATATTACATCAAGAGGACTGGGTCTATTTCACCTCTTTTACCTCATTATCTAAATGTGATCACAATACAGCGTAATGAAAGAATTGGTTGAGTTGGTAATTGACTAATCAAAAGTGAATACGTGAATGATTCGTAAACCGCATCTCATCAGTCAGCCCAGACTGACAAGGAATGCTTGCATTGAGTCGGTAACCAGGCAACCCTAATAAAAACACGGGCGAAGAGACATGTACTATAAACATGAGCGGCGGATCGAAATAAGGCGCCAGTATGGTGATACCAAATCATACAGACCCCTCAGACTGGTAAGCAAACAACCGAGACACAGAAGACGAACAAAATATCTACACGGTGAAAAATAAAACACCATATTTATATACACCAAGTACAACTTTATTTCTCTTGAACTGGTAAAGAAGCGCGCAAGCCAAAGCATACAACCCAGAAACATTAACACGCGAGAAAAAACAAGGAGTTGATAAATAACATATATACCTCGTTCAATTAACACCAGGCGAGAAAGAACAAAACAATGAACAAATATTGTTTAATTTTTCTTTTATTGCAAATTTACCTAACAGTTCAAACGGGCGGCCGTGATAAATAAAGAGTGCGTGCATACCCTGTGATGTTATTGAACAAGCGTATGCTGAATCTGGCTACTGTATTTCGATTCATGAGTGTATTCACTCTTCGAAACACTTTACAGTTAATTTTGAACGTGAAATGGGTCGATTCAACTCAGACGAAGGTGGCTCACCTCGATCTTTCGAGCGCCTACCATCGCTACTTTAAACTGTTAATGATTCACAGCATCCACCGTTTATACCAATGTAATTATTTTGAACACCGTATCCGTAGGGTGGACAGTTCTAAAAAAAGTGTTTTTTAAAAAGAATTGTGCATTTCAATTCATCGCTCGTACATTTTTTTGGCTAATCTAACAACTTCAGTTTTCTCGATGAAAATGACTAATTTAAAAGTCAATTTTTCCTTCCTTTATTTAGAATAACTTCCCACGCCAAATAAACATTTATGCCAAGAAATATGAACATTGCTAACAAGGAAGTCCTAAACTTTTTCCGTTTGAATAAATTTGTCGAAAAAATATTTTCTGTTTTCCATTCCAATAACTTTATCGCCATTTTTCTACAATACATTTATCTCATCTTTGGTCTAATACGCCATTTATTTATTTTAAGTTTAACAGTCGAGCTTAGTTCAATAAATAATAATAAATGCTTCAATAAATAACGCTTCAAACACGGAAGAGCTGTCTCGAACGAAAGATGTTTGGAACAGAAACCACAACATTAATCTGAGCACGATTTTAAAAGTTTGACAACAATGTCGGCGCCACCCTTACCTCAGTTAAATTCTTAAATTCTAATCCAACATAAGTTAAATTACTCAATAAAGCGTAGCTTTGAAATATTATGTTCATTATAAATTACGGCTGGCGTTTCACATAAAAGCACATTCCACTGTCGATTTTAATTTTAGTATGATATTAGTTAACTTATTTTGCTCTCGCAGCTGCAGAAATATGCGCCATCTATAGAACAAAATTGCAAAAAATTTGCATATCCGAAAAAAATAAAATTTAACTTAAGCCTTAATGAAGACTTGAGTCATAATTTTCGAATAATTCCCGGCTGAGTGTTAACTACGTAACCCACAGTTTCCTTGCTTTCTTCTATAAATGCGCAATAAATCATTTTGTGAATATTCGTTGGGTTTCTGAACTTGAGACGAATCATGGAAACACAAACTCTGAACTTAAGGCGGTTATTAAAAAAATTTAGTGCACAATTTCTGTGTTAATATCGTTAACGACTTTTCCTGTCATAATAACACACCCATCTCATATCGCATAAAAACTCCGCGCTTTCGGCATGTTTTATGAGCGAAAACAACATCAAAACCTTCTTATTGTTTAACTTAATGACTGTATTTTGTCAAGAGTCTAATCTCTTTTAATTATGCGTGATGAAGTCCACACGAAGAAAAATGGCAATTTATTGTTTTTCATCTTTATTCACTGTTGCATGGTAAACTTACATTTTAGAACAATTTTTATATTTCTTTACAACAATGATGAAAACTTTCTCAACGGCTATCTTATTGCTGGAAAAAACATTTCATACTGATATATTAAAATGAGTAAGCACCACTTTTAATCTTAGGCAATGGTTAGGAGAACTTCTAAAATCTTAGTCGTATAACATCATTAACCCTTTTCATCGTATTGGTCTACAAGAACTAACTTGTAAAACAATGGCAAAGCACTTGTCTCATTGTGTCCTTCGCTGCTTGTCTAACTTCATCTAGCTTCCAACAGTAAAGAATCGGGTTTAAAGACGAGTTTAAGAAAATTAAAGTGGTTGTATAAATCCTAGCGTGATAAACAGATACAGATAGTCCACTCTTAGCCCTCAAAGCAGTCACTACACCATGAGGTAGATAACAAGCGACCAGCGTCAGTTGCAACCATATTACAGTGGAAACGGCCTTTTTGTATCGCGCTATGTTCAGTTGATTTGCTTGGCTCGGTTGTTGAACATTGCGGCTGTGAATCTGAGTGTTATGTTGACGGAGGGTGAGGAAAATCTTTGTGTAAGAGAAGATCGAGATTATAAGATATAGGGGTATAGCTATGGTGCCATACCATATGGTTATTACTGGATTCCAAAATACCATTCCTGAAAAGGCAGCGGCAATAACCCAAGTGGTGATAACGATCAGGTACATTCGCTTTAAAGTTACAACTTGTCTGTGCCTCAGTCCCAACAACAAGGCGAGAAGTCTGTCCACGCTTAGTTCAGTCAGAGTTGCGACCGACACTCCACACAAGATATAACCTATTAGAAAACTTGCCGCCGATAGGTGAGGACAAATATTCCAATGTTCATTCACCTCAGACATCCAATAGCCAACAGAGAGAGGCTCTACAAATAGACCAACACAGAGATCAGTTGTTGCAAGACTGCGAAGCAAGAGTTTGGACGGCGGATGAAGTGAAGACTCCTTGTGAAGAGCAATTAAGATTAGAGCATTCCCAAGAAATGCAGTAACGGACAGAAAAGTGTTTAAAACTGAAATAAATGTCAACTGGCCGTGTAGTCCAGCGGTTAATCCTGCGGAACACACGAGTTGCTCAACTGGTTTCTGCTGTCCATCTCCAGTAAAGTTTGCTGCTGCCATTTAGTTGGTAAGATGATATGGCTGTTTGTAGCAGCTGTATTCGATCAGCTCTCTGTGGAAACGTTTCACTGTAGAAAAGTTACAAAGCGGCTTCTCAACTGACGAATAATTCCTTTTTCAAGTTTGCTTAAACATAAATTTGGAAAACAATTAAATCTAGCGGGTAGCCAATTAGCTGGGTAAATAAATAAAGATAAAATAAAAACTATTAAAATAACATTGTCAAACTATTGGTTTTGAAGGCTATGTCTTAAACTGCAGGAAATATTTCGAAAATTCTGAAAATTCTTCCTGTTATTCTAAATTAGAATTTCTCCCTCGATCACGCATCAAACTAATTGTTAGTCATGTAAGTCATATTGTTTACAAAGATAGTGTCTGAAACAGTGCGGGTGGCAATGTATCACACATTTTAAAACGGAAATAGTGTGAATTCTATTTTTTTTTTTTTCAGTTTGGGAGAATGTTAGGGTGGATTATTTTATTGCTGCCATTACTCTGCCTCCATTCGTGTTCTTCATTTGAAGCGAACGGTGTTCACGTAGGGCTAGCCTTTTAAAGGTCAACTGAACCATAATTCAGGGCGAGGAAATGTTAAAAAAAAAAAAAAAAAAACATTTAAGAGGAAACTCATGCGGAATTTTTCTTTCTGAACCGTGAAAAGGAGTAAAGAAGTTAAAAGTACGAATACAGCTGATGGCCTCGTGAAAACGTTTCTAAAATGACCGCGCACTTTAACGGAAGGAATGGAATTGAGACTCTGCTTTGTGACGTCATTGTTGTCTTGAACACTGCAGCGTTTTTGCGTCAGTGAGTCGTTCGTGGGGAAGGTTTTGGATCTAAAAACAAACCGTATTTTGCTTGGGAAATGACCGAGACCGGTTCGCCCGCTATTCGGCGGGCATTATTCGCTTGTTTTTCGTAGTTTTGCTACCTTGTAAAATATTTATTATTTTCCACGTTGTAGTGGTGAAACGATTTCACCCCATATCTTTCAGCCTTCACTCCTTCACTTCCCGTATGACATTTGGAAACCATTTGGAACCCGGGGGGGGAGGGCACTCCCACATGAAAAGGCAATGAATGCTCGACGGAAAATTTAAATTTAACTCCTAAGGGAGACTGATGTGGACGTTGCTTGAGCTTCCATTAGACCCCTTAAAGATACCACTTAAAACGTAATAGGTTAAATTTCTAGCCACTGTTTAAGGAGAGATTTTGCGCGCGCACTTGTAGACCCGACTCGCGTATTTGAGAGATCAGAAGAAATCAAGCCTGAAAACAGAAATTAAATGAGAGCGTTTCTTTTATTATTGTTTTCTTGAGTGCACTCTAAAGGATACTTTGACAGTTAAAAATGGTGACCTTTCGTCATCAACACCCTAAGTGAGACCAGAATCCTTGATTCGTACCCGAGACGACAAGCATCCCCGACCTTTTCATATAGGAGTTCCCCCCGGGTTTCGAACATCAGTCGTTTAAGGCCGTTTTACACTCGCTTGCAGCGTGTCAAGTCAGTTATTTTCGAGAGGTAGAAGGTGTAACGGTTTTTTCATTGTAAGGAAAATACTTATGGTTCTTCCTTAGCGATTTGATTCAGGGAAAGTCTTCGTGGTATTTCCTTTACACACCTACGTGATATTGTGAGTTCGAAAGCCATCGATATAAACGAATGATTAAACGCTCCAGACGATTATTTTAACACAAGAAAGGGGAAGACAAACGCTACCTTTCGGTAAATGGTTTTTTGACAGCAAAGAATAAAGAATGAAGAAGAAAAGGAAAAATAATCAGTGGTCACCACTGGGAGACGAACTCCCAATATCTCGCACAGCAAGGCAGCGCTTATCACACTAAGTTACTTGTACATTTAACAAATTGACGTCAGTTTTTCATGCTTCTGTCCCGTTACTGATCATGAATTTCGTCATTTCATTGTCAAAGGMGCTGTAGATCCACGAAGCGATARCCGAGTGCATCCGCAGACTACTTTGACAATGTTATGACAATATTCATTGTCAATAACAGGACAGACGCATTAAAAACTGACGTCAATTTGTTTTTTACGATAACAAATTGTCAAATTGTCTGCTCTCGCTCGTTGACGTATTGCATAATTTATAAATTCATCTGTCTGTCCGCTTATTGACGATAAAAATTAGCCAATGAGCGCGCGAGAATTTCTACAGCTATTGTAAAAAAGTTACTGGAAGGTGAACGTATTAATGTTTTATTTACGCACCGCAGGCTCAAGTGTTTCGCTCAGTCTATACCTCACTTTTGACCAAACAAAATGATCTTGCCATTTTTGACTACAGCACCAGGAAGACATCCACAGATACATGTAATATAAAACGTGTAGGCAGGCCCGAGTAACAAACAGTTCCTTAACGTTGAACTTTTTCGTTTTTCAAATCTCTAAATGGAAAAAGGCTTTACGGGCTTTTTCGAAAGCTAGACTGCCCTCACATCACAGTAGTTCGATTCCTTAATGAGCACTGCCCCATAACACCCACTCAAAATTTATTTTCTAAGTTCAGTGGCTCACAGCCACTTTGATTTGTCTTGCAACTTTCCACAGTGAAGTTAAGAATCGTCGGTACTGCGTCTTTCTAGACTACAAATTGATGAGGCATGAAAGAAGGTCCCAACAAACTCCTCACCGCAATATTTTGTTCAAAGCTGTCTTCGGTAAAGTGTTCTGCACAAAAGGGCGAATGCTTCAAGGGCGTAAAGCATTCCTTTTCATTTTCATAAGCCATTATCAAGCATAAAAAACAGTGATTTTAACATTCCAATATCTCCGCAATGCCTCGTCCAATTCGTTTGAAACTTCAGAATATGTTTATTTTATATTTAATGAACATATTGGACTCCAATTAAAAAAATGCGTAAATTATGGTTCATTTGATCTTCAACTTTCTTTTGGGATGCGTATTTATTTTAATTTTGTTGTCGCCGATGTGTTCACCGTTGCATTTTTTTACTCTATTATCAATTTTGACGTCTAGTCATTTGTATGATCTCTTTTTTTGTTTTTAATTTTTATTATGATTTACAGGGCCCCACTGAAAACCACGAAGGCGAGTGGGCTCCCTGAAGAAATATTATTATTATTATTATTA